CCAACATCGTGGATGACGCTAGCGAGAGACAGGAACGGATGGAAACAGTGCTGTGGCCAGCACGACAAGTGAAGACAGGCCATCTAGTCTATCTATCTAAGTAAGTAAGTAATCATGAGGCTCATCAGACAGATTCTGTCTACATGTCGAATCGTCAATGAACTTCTTTACTGTTATACACCTTCTGCATTGTGGCAGTAAAAAGATTTGCAGTAATTGACAAGTAACCTTATTCAGTTTCTTATTGAAACGATGTTTTCTGAGCTTCTCTTCATGGCTGTCTCTTGAGTTAGTTGTGTCGTTAGTCACTATGAAAACCTCCTTCTTTTCTTCAATCAAAAGGTTCACCAGATTTGCAGCATCGGTGATGACACCGTCGCGAAGCCAGAGTAATGCTGAAACCTACAGTGTAATACTTAACCAAACGACAAACTCTTTTGTTACCTTCTGATAATTGGTGAACTCTCTAACTCACCGTCTGCGCCAAAAATGAAAACATCAATCTGTTGCATTAAGCTAGCAAACCCTTCAAAGGTAAGTTGCTCAGCTATTGGTTCGCTAGGTGTCATATTGAACAATTTTGACTGAAAAAGCTCGGGTGATGTACGGTCATCCGGGTAGATGATGGGACGAACCGTTTTGCCGCTGACTTTGATCTTCTTTCGCTGTGTGTACCTATTGCATTCCTCTCGAAACGCATTATAGACACCTTCAAAAGTGCCACCACCGCCGGAGGATTGACTCATCCTCTTGCTGCCTCCTCACAGGTCAGTTAGTAGTGAATGAGAAACACCACGATTTGAGCGCAATACTTATGAACGCTGCTCTGAATCATTTTGCGCTGTTTCATATCCATTTGGAGGTACTTAGTTTCTTTTACGGTTGTTCAGTCGAATGTTAGTGTCAATGTTTATTTCTTTAGAAATTTGTACAATTTGGAAAGAAGGAGAACGATTGACTCTCGAAAATAATCTGTCATTATGTCTTTTTCTTTCCAAACGTTCTTCTTGCCTTTGCCACTTTCCTAGATGCTAGCTTCTGTTTACGAAGCCGAGCTCTGATTGGGGCTGGAAGAATCATACCATCCAAAACATGATTGGGTAGGAGACCTAATGCGTCCGGGTAGTATCCGCCATTAAGTACCATTGCTGTGTCTGATGAATGACCGCTTTCTAAACTAGGTATTTCAAGTTGACAAAATAAAACTCAAAATCCAATGCGAATATCACCTACCCTTCGTGTAAGAGCGTGCAATATTACGGATTTTGGTTTGAGGATGGTGGAATTGAGGATACTAAAGGAAATGTTGAAATGTTTGCTATCTTTTCTCATCTAGACCTGCTTTTACAATCTATTTAGAAATTTAGGAGTTTACCATAACATAGGGAACCATTGCTGGATAAACCGGAGCTGCTGCTATGGCTTGTACTGACACAACGGGTGCTGGAGCTACGAAGTCGA